GGGGAGGCAAGGCAAGGCAAGGCAGGGGTGGGCATGTGCCACGATGCAACGGCGGGCGCGCGATGTAGAGGCTTGCTCACTTGGAGATTGTTTTCTCCACACGATCTCCTCGCGAGCAGGCTGCCGCCTCCCTGTGCAAGTGGCGAGGCGGGCAGCTGCAGGCAGCCCATTGAGAACCTCTGAGGCGGGCCGGATAAATGGCTGGGGTGGGCCGGATCCGGCCCCCAGGCCATAGTTTGAGGACCCATGCTCTAAATACTGAAACTATCCCTTGAAAACACAAAGCAAAGGCTAAATGCATATTTCTATGACAACCAAAGTAATCAAAGGTTTGGAAAAAAAATGAGTTAAAAAAGGGTTTAGATCCTTTTCGCTCAGATTTTAAAAATGGGTTAGGGTTAGGAGCCTTGGAAACCCGGAACCAGTACAGGTTACAAGTGTTATTTTCTCCACGCCAAAGCTGATTCCGTACATTCATTAAAGGTACCAACATCAAATTATCTTTCTTATGGGATTTTTCTCCTAAATGTTTGCTTGTTTTTTAAACCCCAAATAGAGCATGCAGCAGTTAAATAACCATAATACCACCCCAAGATTCTAAATAGATTCAAGATTCATCTTCACCCCTTACCAAGGCTGCATCGTTGCTCCTCGGTGCCTCAGAACATCCAATCCACATGATTCATTTTGCTCATTTTGTACTTTTGCAATGCTACCCATGCCAAGTGAAAGATGCCTCCAAACAGGGAGCAGCTGCCAGGGAGCATCGGTAGGAGAGTGCTGGTGAGTCCCAGTCCTGCTGTGCAAACAGAATGCTAGACTGGCAAAGTCTTTGTTCTAACCCAGCACGGCTTTTATTATGTTCTTATTTAATCATTAGTTGTGCACCCAACATCCGTAAGGAGAAAAAAAAGCTGAAAGGTACTCCAAGGCAAGGAGGAAGCTAAGAGTTTCTTTTAACGTGCTCTGTTGCCCTGGTTGCGAAATTGCCCTCTTGACTCACTCTAGGAAGCGCGTGATGTACTCCTTGCTGCACTGAGACCAGGTGAGGGGAGTGGGGTCATACTGCAGCTGCCGAGACATGATGTACGGGCGTCTTCCCTCCGGCTCGCAGTCATTTTCCTTTCCATCATGCTGCATACCAAAACTAGGTGGGAGGTAAATCCAAGTGCAATACAGTGTTACGAAAACTGTAAAAATACAGAACATCTTAGCTCCAAATAACTCCAAACGTGCAGAAAAACTACTTCTGGTTCTCAGGTGATAATTGGTTCTATTATCAGTGTGGCCCTGGTGGAAACTCTTAGCAATATGTCTCAAATGGTGGAGACAGAACTATGAAAGGAGTCACTGGGTTGGGCCCAGCTTTTGTTAAGAGGTCTCTGAGCAAGAGGTGGGGGGCTTGTGACCCTCCAGATGTTTTGGCCTACAACTCTTATCATCCCTCACCATTAGCAATGCTGGCTAGGGCTGATAGAGGGAGTAAGTTAAAATATCTGGAAAGTCGCATCCCTGTCCGGAACGGAATTCTACTTCGAATACTCCTGTTGGTGGAAATGGGGTGAGGCAATCTTTGTTGATTCTTCCCTCCCTTTGCAGTTTCTAGCTCCACCTTATTCAGATGGTTCTCCGAATGTCTAGAGCAGATGAAGGGCATAAAGGAATGTAATTTTGGGATCATGTGGATGGAGGAGAAGAAGGAGAGAAGGAATTAGAGAGAAACAAAGGCAAGCCTGAGAAGAAATAAGAGAAGTTGAAAAGAACCATGGTAGAACAATGTCCAACCAGTGCCTTCAAGGCAAGGATAAATACTGACTAAGTTGAGTCAACCCGCTGACTCAAGAGAGTCAAAGTTAGGTTGGGAGCAAGTGCTATTAATTATTATAAATTTGTAAACATTCTTGCTCTTGAGTTTTTAAAATGCATGCACAAAACAATACAAGCAGATTAATCAACGTGGTCAAAGGAAGGAAAATGTTTCCCAAATGGAAAAAAGAACACACAAAAAGAAAATTGGCATGAGTTATCCTAGCACATTTTAAAAGATGAAAGATTAGACAAGCAAGTCCTTTATCTTTTTACATATGGAAACCTAAGAAAAACATGCCGGCAGTATTGAAAAGGAACATTTGGATCCAGCGAAACGTTAATGTTTCATTAAATAAACAATTTTTAACACTGAGACTACCGTGAAGTGCTCCGTGTGGGTCTACCTTTGAAAGCTGTTCAGAAGAGCCAGGTGGTCCAGACCACTGACCAGAGGCCCATGCAGGGGAACATGGGACTCCTGTGTCGCCACAGGTTCCTGGCAACCAGTTTATGTCAGGGCACAATTCGCAGTGCTGATTATGATGACCTGCCAAGCTCTGTGCAGCTTGTGGCCAAGCTATTTCTTTCTTCCATGAGAGCCTGTGTGGGTTCCTTTCCAGACTGCCTCCCCCAGAGCTGTGCTGGTGGTGAGGAAGAGAGACCTTCTGGGGGCCACTCCCAATCTGCGGAACAACTTCTGAAAGGAGGCCATGTTCTCTCCCTTTCTGCTGCCCTTCTGATGGCAGGCAAAGAGTGCTTTATTCAAGGCCTGTGGCCTGCAACTAGGTTTGCAGGATGGGTGCTTGGTTTATTCTGTAATATCTATGTGTTTTTGTATTTTAATGTGATTTATAGTTTTAAATTGTTTTGTAAGTTGCCTTTTATTTTGAATTGTTTTGCAAGTGTGGTGTAGTGGTTAAGAACATGGGACTGGGACTCAGGCAATCTGGGTTCTAGTCCCTGCTCAGCCATGGAGCCAACTGGGTGACTTTGGGTCAGTCACAGACTCTCAGCTCAACCTACCTCACAGGGTTGTTGTTGTGGGGATAAGTTGGAGGAGGAGATGTAAGCTGCCTTGAGCCCTTTGTAGGAAAAAGGCAGGATATAAGTAGAAAAATAAATTTAAAAAAGTTGCCTTTTATTTTAAATTGTTTTGTAAGTTGCCTTTTATTGCTTTAACTGTTTTGTAAGCTGCCTTGAGGCCAATTTTTGGTAGAAAATAGGGTATAAATCAGTTAAAACATATACGCGCTTTTCAACTTGCTCCTTCAACCCAGCCATTCTATGGCTTTGTTTCCTCCAAAAAATGTAAGTGTAACTTCAGCTGTGGTGAGCAGTGTGGTGTAACTGCCCAGAGCACATCACGGCAACTGCCCAGCGGTTCATACCTGTGTCCAAGTTCATGAGCAATTGTAAACGCCAAAGGCAGACCGGAATCTTCATTGATGTTGCAGCTGCGGTGAGGCTGGCACATTCCGGAGAGATGGGACAAGCCTAAGGTTTCACACGGACGGTTCATACTGGCGCAAAGGTCTTTCCTGCGAACACAGCAACAACGCGTCTCCTCAGAAACAAGGCCTGCTGCGCTTACTGGGACTCCATCCCAGGAAACCCTGCACAGCAGGGCTGGTGTCAGGGTCAGCATGGCTGGGTCCCTGCCAAGGTACATGGCCTTCTCCCTCTGTGTGGAACTGGCTGGACCAGTATGGCATGCTCATCTCTTTGCTCTTCCAACTGCCCACTTACAAGACTGAGGCAAAAGGGAAAACAGAAGCCGCAGGTCCATAATAAGTGGGTGCTCTTTGAATGCCATGTTGCAGCACCTGCACTCCTCCTGAAGCTGTCAATTGTCACACCAATTAGTGTTGTCTATCTGGAGAGTCCCACCATCAAACACCATGTCACGCTTGAACAGTCCTTGCATTTTTGGCCCAAATTTTAGCCAGTCACCCTCTTTTCTTGCTTTGTTTATTCTAGAGTGATTCCATTTGAGAAAGGAAGCATGAGGCAAAGACTAATACAAACTGTTGTTGAGTAGACCATCTGTCCCGCTAAAAGTAAAGGTGTGTCGTTTGGGCTGCCCCTGACCCCAGACTCATCCCTAGAGTCACAGGTGGACTCAGTGGCCAGGAGCAGCTTCTGTCAGCTGTGGTTGCTTTTTCAGCTATGTCCCTATCTAGATAGATACAGCCTTCCCACAGTTATCCATGTACTGGCAATCTCATGCCTGGATTACAGTAACGCGCTCTACGTGGGGCTGCCTTTAAAAACAGTCTGGATACTTCAATTGGTTCAGAAGAGGGCTGCACGGCTGTTAATAAGGCCTGGCCCACGAGACCGTATCACTCCAGTCCTGTCAGCTACATTGGCTACTCATTGAAGTCCAGACCCAAGTCAAAGTGCTGATGCTAACATATAAAGCACTAAATGGCTTGCGGCCAGTGTATCTGAAGGAACTTCTTTCTCCATATGTTCCTATCCAGCCCTTGAGTTTCTAACCACTCTAAACAGTTTGGGGCCAACAGCAAATCTGGCTGCTTCACTATCCACTCCAAATTTCAGATCATTTGTGAATAAGCTGGAAAGCATAATACAATTCTGTGTGGGATCCCACCATTTATGTCCTTCCAATGGGGAAATTATCATTTTTTCTGTTTCGGCTTTCTGTTTGTAAACCAGTTCCTGATTGATGAGAGGACCTCCCCTCTTATTCTGTGACTGCTGATAATATAAACAGGTTTGGAATCTGTCTCCTTAAGAAATAGCAGTCATGTATCCACAAAGCAGATATTAAATACAAGATGCAAAACTTCCTTAGAGTGTAAAGCCTAGGCATGTTTAGAAATTTTAAAAAGCTTAAAACTCTCCGCTTGCCTAGCCAGTCATGCCAGGAGTTGTGGGCCTTTTTCTGCCTTAAATGTGCGCAGGAGTGTGCCTTAAATATAGCTAAACTTCATACCAACAAATGATGACGAGGATGATGAGGATGATATAACAATAATGGCATGGATGCTGTCCTATGTTCAATATATCATAAACATATTTTAAATAAACTTCCTTCATTTCCCCTGCGTTCTTCCCAAGTTTCACCAGTCTGGTATGTGGGCTAGTCAGTTTTTTGTCTCATTCTATGCACTTCATTTTAACAAAAATTGTGTTCAAATGCTGAATCATAATTTCCTAAATTAGAAATAAGCACATGCTGCTGCTTAAAAATTGGCATACTAAGTCACAGATTTCTGATCATTACAGCGCTATTCAAAGGCATGCAATTATCGTTGACAAAGGCTGTTGCTGGAAAAATCGCAAGTAATAAAGCCCTGTGATTTTGTAGCAAAGGCAAACTAAGAAAATATTTGCCTTTGCATTTGTCCTATTATGAAAAGAGTTGTTTGGGCAGCGCGGGTGGGGTGGGGTGGGGTGGGGGGGCAGCTGCTTGCAAAAGTGCTTTCGCTTCATTTTGCTTAGCCTCAGAGAAAGGACCCTGATGCGTAAGGGTCTTCTGCACATTTTACATGCGTCACGTCGAAGAGCTTGTTCGATGAGAGGTTCATTAGAATAAACGGGATCAGATGAAGGATACATCATGGCAAAGGCACTTTTTGTGGTGCTTCTGCTGCCACTGAGATCAACGGTGCGGTGCAGCCACGCTCAGAGGGGGCAATGCCAGCCCTTTCTGGTTCTCTGCCACCCCACTCTGAATTCTCCCTGAGCCTGCAGTGGCTGAGGAGAAAGCAAGATGAATTTTCCCCGCAACAATACAGCTCCCCTGTTGCAAACCAAAGCATTCTGGGGTGTCTTGATCTTGCACAGATATTTAAGATCCGTCCATTTTACAAAAGACCTGCTCCTAGGAAAGGAAACCCCCTCCATCTAGTTTGATGGTGCAGTTCAACACAATTAGCTGCAGCTTTGGAGTCTTCCTGGTGTGACTGTTAGAACCACCATGACAGTATCTGCACTTCCAAACTTACCACCACAGCCCTAGCTAAGATCAGATGCTAGTGTTACACAGTAATAGTTAGGATTTGTATTGCACTTTGGAATACAAAAGGCATTTTATATAAGTCATCTTGCTGTGATCCTTACAGCCCTGTAAGGTAGGTCAGTGCTACTGTAATCTCATTAGATGTGTGTCTAGAAAGGAGGAGGCTGAGGTGGAGAAGGGATGGCTTAGTAAGGCCAGCGTGTGAGTTCACAGCATAGACAAGATTTGGACTGGAAGTTTCTCTTAGCCTTTATGCCAAGTCACCTCTCAGTTTAGGAGCCAGCTAAAATGACAACATGCTGTCAGTGATTTAAGGCATTGATAAATTTTGGCATCAATACGTAGGGAGTGAGGTCTCTCAAGGATAGGGATATATGAAAATTCCATGCATGTTTGCAATCCTGAATGCAGAACAGAGGTTTTTTCAGGAAATTTCTGCGATTTCACGAGCTTCCATTTGTATCTGAAAGTATGCATTTGCACAAGTACATACTGCCATCCCCAATCTGTATTTTCGCACTTTATTCTATGCAGAGTGGAATGTGCATTTCAGGTGAGCATTTTTTTTTAACATGTGCACTTTTGCAGATCAAAAATGTTATTTTTTAAAAGATGCTCTCATTCAGTGTAAATCAAGCTTTGAGGAGGCATTCAGAGAATCTCAGCTAGCTCAAAAAATCATTTGTTCATCCATCCTCCTCCTCAACAGTTTTGTTCATTCAACATTTGAAAGTGAATCAACCTGATTCACACTTCCTAGACTGACAGGCTGATCTGAATGTTTACCCTTCGTTACTTCTCTGAACTTAGCAGTTTGTGATGCGGTCCTGAGCTCAAAACTAGTTGCACCAAAATTGCCATAAAATGTGCATTTTAGAAGAAAAGATGTTTAAAAATACATTGTTGTTGTTGTTAGTCGCGAAGTCATGTCCAACCCATTGCGACCCCATGGACAACATTCCTCCAGGCCTTCCTGTCCTACACCATCCCCCGGAGTCCACTCAAGCTCACGCCAACTGCTTCAGTGACTCCATCCAGCCACCTCACCCTCTTCTCCTTTTGCCATCTATTGTTCCCAGCATTAGGCTCTTCTCCAGTGAGTCCTTCCTTCTCATTAGGTGGCCAAAGTACTTGAGTTTCATCTTCAGTATCTGGCCTTCTAAAGAGTAGTCAGGGTTGATCTCCTCCAGGACCGACCAGTTTGATCGCCTTGCGGTCCAAGGGACTCGCAGGAGTCTCTTCCAGCACCACAATTCAAAGGCCTCAATCCTTTGGCGCTCAGCCTTCCTTATGGTCCAGCTTTCACAGCCATACATTGCAACTGGGAAAACCATAGCCTTGACTTTACACACTTTTGTCGGCAGGGTGATGTAAAAATACATACTTTGAGAAAAATATATCTTGTAGTTTTGCATAAATATACATTTAAATACAAATTTTAATACTGCAGATTAAAGAATAAATAAGCTGGGGAAGGTAGGGAGGTACACACTGCTATGTGGCGTCTTTGTAACATAATTCTTGGAACATGTGCTTGAGGAGGCAATTCTATGGCCCCCAGATCCTACGGGGAAGCACAAGTTACTCTAGATTCCAGCACTGAGGCCCAAGACAGAAACCTGGTCTTGGAGCTGGGAATCTTCTGAGCTCCAGCCCCTGCTCCCCACTTGCAGCTGGTGTGGAAAGAAACCATGCTGGCTGCCTCCCCAAGATCGGGAACTCGGCATCAGAAAAGAGGTAGAGCAAGAAGTTCAGTGGATGAAGCAAGGAGATGCAGAGGCCAGAAAACACCTGTTCTTCTGAAGCATCACAGCTAGGTGGCCAAAAGTAGCCGTTTAGGACAATCCCGTGGGAAGAGCTGCCTCCCTGCTGCTTCCACTGGGCACTCTTTGGGGACTAATGACCACTTTGATTGCATTGCACACTGGTTTGCAAATACACAGCAGAGCAAAACTGGAAGTAAGGAGGCACTCCTACAGGGCAGGTCCCCTAAAGAGAAATCTGGGCATCCCATAAGGCAATCCCGTGCTTTTTGGGTAATTCCAGCTAGCAATCGTGTCCATGGGCTTGTTCGTTCTGCCTCCTCCAAACAGCCAACTGCGGTTTCTCAAGCATCTTCCCACACCCCTTGGCTAGAAGGGCATGCCCCCCTTCAAGCTGTGACGGGGATCTCATTCACAGGCACTGTGTGGTCCCTGTCTCTCCCCTGCTGTATTGTCATACCTGGTAAGGAGAACTGCCACATCATGGTGCAGGGGGTTGGCGTCCGTTTTGGGATTGATACTCTTCTGCCATTTACAGAAGCTTGCTAATGTTTTATCTGCATGGTGAACTATTTTCAGCCCTTGCTAAAGAAAGGAAAAGTAAAATATCATGAAACTTCCAGAATCCAGAGATCATCAGTATGAATTATTGAGCTCAGTAACCTAATTTAGTATTAACAAATGATGTCTTTACTTGAAGACCCAGACATCACTGTGGGAGTTGCTTAGGGAATTCAGAAACTTAAGACAAAATGCTTATTATATTTGCCTTAACAAAACAAAACAAAACAAAACAGCCATATAGTTTATTAAGAGGACACCATTGAACTAAAAATAAATACATAGGCTTAATATTTTATTGAGCTACAGTAAAATGTTACTCCTATAATAAAAAACCCCAAATTCAATCCCAGGGTTAAGAGTGATCTAACATGTCTAGATCCTTGGAGCTGGTTTGGAAATGGGCCCATTTCAAGGACTGGAAGATTCCATTTTATTAGAATCTCAAGATCCGCCAAGTTGTGTCAAATGAGGACTGGTTACTCTGAACAGCCATGCATTTATTAGTCTTCAGGAACAGCGGGGAGCACATGGCTCCAACTACAAATTTATTTTCACTGTCCAAACTGAATGTGCAGTTCTTTAACATGCAAATCAGCTCCTGGTTCTCTCACACTCTTAGAAGAGGGGATATTTTTGTTCTTGTTGTTGTTAAGCAATTGAGAACCAGAAACCTTTGAGGCTCAACTCCAAATCACACAGAGATCTCCCAGTAGATTCTAATCTACTTTCTGTGCACCTATGCATTACTGTGTATAGTTCAAACTTTTACTCCCGAAGATAAAATTCAAGGCTTGGGGATGAAACAGAAGCTGGATGTGGATGGTGCTGATTGTTCGGAGCCTGCAACTCCACCACAAATGTGATCGCAGCTGTGAGTTTACGGGTACGCTGACAGGAGTTTCTGGATTATAACCCGGTAACTGTCCTTGAGGGTGTTGAAAACTGAGCAGTACATCCAACACAGGTGGACAACCACTCATGCAGTGGGTGTTTCCCCCCCTGTCCTCCCACTGCAGACCCCTAAGCCTGCAGAGCTGATCTGGGGATGAAGAGAAGGCAGCAAGGCGGACAGAGAGCAGAGACGGGTGGCGACTGTCCTACAGACAGATGGACACCACTGCATATAATTCAAAACTCTAATTTTGGAATGGCAATACCTGAATCTGGCAGAGAACTGAAGAATCTGAACATGGAACACAAAACCTGACATTTTATAACCAGGGGATTAAACTGCCCAGGGAGCCTCAGCTGTGGGACAGTATAGAAATGAAAATGCTACTGCTACTACTACTAATGAACCTTTTAACTAAACAGCTGCATTTGCATAAGATACCACACAGAGGGAAATTAGGATATAGGCTAGATCCCCTTTGGCTGGTTCTCCATCGTCTTTTTGTAAAACTTGCTAACATTTGTCATCCTTCAGCAGCGCACAAATAAATGTAAAAGGTGAGGCTGGGCTCTTACCTCCTCTTCCTCAAGAAGGATAAGGCGGACCAGCACAATATGAACGGCATTGCCGATGCTCGGATCGTGGAACAACCCTGCCACCTGCACCACAGTCAGGCAATATGACGTTAATTGACTCCCTTTCCAGTGCAGCAATTTTTATCAAACTCTGATGAGAATAATGTATTTCTTTTGCACCTTCAGAGTATCTGGCACTTCACAGCCTCACATGAATGGGGCACGGGAACAGGGCAGGGGAAGGGGGACAAGCACTAATGATCCACCCTAAATGCATTAATGGCACCTGAGCTTGGTTTTTGTTGCTGTGGATAACTGATACCGAGTGAAACCAAACTGCCAGCTTGCCTTGGGTAAAAGTAATCTGTGGGGAAAAGACTAGAAAAAGCAGTTGCTCTGTTTATCCAGTTGGCAGCTTCATATCTTTTTTTAGGTATCTTTGGGTTAAAGAAGTTTCTGATCTCAAAGTTTTGATGGAATAACAAAGGGATATAGGGACAATGAATTTGTTGTGCAATTTTGCACTTTTGAGCAAGTATGTGAATCAAAATTCAGTTAGCCGTTAATCTGAAATAGGTTACTGTGATCACATATTCTTAAATGATGGGAAACAGCACAGGGCACTGGGCATATCTGTGAAAACATTAAAATGTATCACACTGGGGAAAACTGCTTGCAGAAACCCTGCAGATTAGGCAAATAGCACAAAAGTATATTTATTATGTGAGACATGCACAAAATGTATATGAAATGAATATTCATGAAACTATTTTTTTTAAAAAATTTCCAAGTGTAGGATGATTATGCACTTATGCATTTTCCAGTTGTTTAGACCATGAATTTATATTCTGAAGTGTCCCAGTTCAGTACTAAATGTGATTAATGTATGAGTTGGCTCCATGATGAGGAGTTCTTTGGAAGTTCTAACCATGAATGATAATTTTGCTGCTTTTCCAACAGAGGAGCCACAGCTGAATGGTACAGCACATGCTTTGCACGAAAAGCTCCAAGGCTCAGTCCCTGCCATCTCTAGGTAGGGATGGGGGAAAAAAACCTGCCTGAAACCTTGGGGAGCCATTGCTGCCAGTCAGTGCCGACAATACTGGCCTACATGGACCAGGGGTCTGATTCACTGTATGACAGCTTCTTATGTTCCTATTCATGTATCACAGTGAAAAAGGTTAACGACTGAAGGCCAGTGTCTGCCTTCATTCCTACCTGAGATAGTTTCATGTCCATTAGGATACCTGTGGGAGGACTGGGGACGAAGAGGTGAGGAGCAGTGGGGCTTTGGGCTAAATTCCCACACAAGGTGGCTTAGAAGCTATCTCATTCCCCATGTTATTGTCCATTGCCTACAGCTACCAAAGTTTCTAGTTCAAAGACTGTCCACTGGATATATAGCCCTTTCCTGGATCCACCAGACTATAGATTTTAAAGCAAGTCAAGGCCCTAAAGATTTTGTTGCCTGCAACTCCCATCAGTCTTCATTGCACTGGTGATGGCAAAGGATTAGCAGAGTTGCAGGCCAAAACATGTGAAGCGCCACAAATTACTCACCCTTTATTTAAAGATATGGGGGGGGGGGATGAAATATATTACGCACCATGTTCATGATAGTGAGAATATAAGGTTCCACATTTTCACTTCCGTGGTACTCAATCATCTTGCTGTCTGCAACCACCAGAGTCTCCACCCAACGCTCTCTGCTGATGGACCGGCGGGAGGTTGCCTTGCTCCTCATGTGCTCTCTTTCCCACTTCTCCCTCCGAAGCTCTTGCTGTTTGAAAAAGTCCACCGTTTCTGAAATGGGAGGCAAATGGCATCAACTTTATTTTTCATAAAGCGTTTGCTGCGGAAAGAAACTGAAGTTCATCTCTTTTTCACAGAAAAGAAGTTCTCCAAAGATTATATGGGGTATTTCCTGGGAACTTGTGGCATTAAAGAACAGAGACTAAATATCTTAAATGGTTTCAACATACTGAAATTGTATCATAAGCACTAGAGTACTGATAAACATGCACAAGCTCTGTAAATGCTGAAAAACAGAATGCCACTTCTCACTTAAACTGAAAAGTGAGCCATCTCTACAGTGTAGGGGAGAAACTTTGGAAAGGTTACCTGAAAATGCACAGTCACTGCTATCATCTGCTCATTTGCATTTTGAAAGATTCTGCCCAAAGTGTGTCAAATGGACAGCAATAAATAGAACAATTCTAAGGCCATAGTGGGGTGGGAACAGTTGCAAATAACCATCATGTCTAAGAGTAAATACAAAAGAAGAGTATCAGCCAATCTATTTGAATTTCGTATAAAAACGGTACAAAAAAGGTGATATAACATACAATTAAAGATGATGTAAGCAGCCCAGGGAGCCTATAAAAGCATATAAATGAAATAGATAAATAGGATTCCATCCCACAATCTGGGGGTGTCTGGCGCATCACAGGTTTCCCTTCCCTGAGCTATATACACATGAGTAATACATGTGGAACAGGAAGAAATTTGTTGCATTTGAAACAAGATGCCTGATTTAGAGATGACAGAATCGTCAGTGATGCAAAGAGCATAGGTCATGCTGCTATAACTGCGCATACTTACAGGCCTAATAACAAGCATAATTGAATGAGGCATCCTGGAGCCCTTACTGGACTGACCAACTGACCACACTGTTTCAACTTGTTTCTTTAACGTTTGAAATCAAGTGCACTTCCATGCTACATGCAAACTGAAGAATAACTTTGTTTGCTCTCTTGCAAACAGCTGGATCTGGGGATGCTGGAACTGTGTCCCTTTTCCACATCTGGCTCTCCTAGGGCCTATGGGACATGCAGAAATTCAACAGCCAGCACTTTCCCTACTATGTAAATGCAGCAATGGAGAGTGCTACACATGGGTTAATCTTTGTTTAAAGGCTCTTAAAAGACACAGAGGCCCCTTTCAGAAATAGCACTGGCAATCCTAGTTCACATACACACAACAGAGACTGTGCTATTTTAGAGTTTTCTCCCTTTGCACACAAAAAAAGACTTCAGCAGTACAGTGGGGTGATGCGTGTAAGTTGCGTGCTAGAACACCCTGCTTTTGGTGTTTTGTGAAAACTCAGATCTGCAGAGGTGCCCTGAATCAAATTCCTACAAATTGCACATGGGAAAAGGAAGCAAGTCAAAGCAGTTGCTAAACATCTAAGGTGCTATTAGTTTGTGTGGGATCTGCCAGTTCTTTTGAGTTGACAGAGCAATGTGAGGAGAGACAATTGATTAATCTAGCAATGCATAGTAATTTTCACTCCCTGTGATTCTCCTTTACTCAGTGGAAAAAATAGCCACCGCATCTGTTGCAATCTCCTGCATATGAATCCAATGGAAGCAGATCAGCTCAGACACGTGGCCTGTTAATTATTTTCTTTCAGCATACAGTGCACAATCCTAAGCATTATTTACTCAGAAGCAGCACAGGAATCCTAAAATCAGCTAGGGTGAATTTCCACTGCAGAGGAACAGCCACTGCAGCCACAGCAGGAGGGGCAGCCGCTTCTTCCCCCACCACAGCATTTAAACAAAATCCCCCCCCCCCCCCCACCACCCACACTGATACTGATGGGAATTCAGAGGCCCAAGCCATGCATGTGTCAGGAGAATAACAGGCTTTGGAGCCTACAGATCTGAGGACCTCCCTGACCCAGGCCTGTTCTAGGCTCTCCTCCCAACACCACTTTTAAGAGCCAGATGCCACCAGGGTCTTCACAGCCATGCCAACAGATTGCCAGCCATTGGAGCACCTCTCTACGGGTGAAACAGCCACTGCACTGCATCCACAAACCCCTGGCAAGCCTTTGGCAGGGGTTTAGAGGGCTCTGCTTGTCCTGCGCAACTCAATGGAATTTATCCCCCAGTAAGTGCAAGCAGGTTTGCATCCTGCTGTACTGAAATGCTTTATTTTTCCTTGCTTCCCTTCAGTAACTGCTCATGTGGCCATCTTTAACTGCAAACTTAACATATCTTCTGGATGCATCTTTCTTCATCAGTCTCCCTGTTTCTTTCCTTTTAAAACTGTCAAAGAAACAAATGTTATTTTTGTGTCAGTCCGTAAAAGACCCTGTATTGTTTTCTTTATCTGTAGGAAATTTTTAATGTTAGGTTTACTCATACTACTATTTGTTGATCATTAAACTGAAAACATTCTGGGCTCAAATCCCAGCTAAATCAGGCTATAAATAGGTTTATCACTCCATCAACCACATGGTGACAATAATGACGCACACCTTGCAGGGATATTGTGGGAACCAAATGATCTTTTAAAGAAGAAGAAATAAAGTGTAGAATTAGTCAGTGATTGAGGACTTCTGTACTCTTGGAAAGATAAGTCATTTCCCTTTTGCTTCATGGCTGTCAAACCATTCACCTTGCAGCAGTGCTGTTACAGCTATTGGAAAAACCATGTAAGAGGTGTTTTGATGGCTGTCATCTCCGGCTTCATTGCCAGAATCATTTGCTAAATGCGAGAATGTGGAGTGCTGACAGCTTCTAATGTCCCACACTGCCACCTCCTTCACACAGAGCCAGCCCCTATTGGACTATGGTCTGTGGCAGGGTTCACTGGGTCTTCTAGACTAGCAGCTGGGAGATTTTTTGAATGGAAATCATTTTAACATCTTGCCCAATGAGTCAGTGTTCTGAGATCAAATGTCATAATGGTCTCTAACTGCCACATGGTTTTCATATAAAATAGCACTGAACTGACTGAAATAGTGTGATGGTGACCAAGTCTTAATGCACAGAACTTGCAAGAATATATGTTTCAGACAGTAACTGGGACTGTAATCACAGCTGACATTATATCACTGTTGTAATTACAATAATAGCCACCCCATGAAGGTAAACTTGTTCTGTATTCTTTAACAAGGAAGTTGATCTTTTAAAAAACTAGTGATGATGCTGGTCCCACAGTTTGGACTCTCTTCCAAGATGCACAATAACGTCTTTGTTTTCTAACAGTGACTAACGAACTATTCATAACCATGGACTAGTCATAAGTACTCTGCCTCAAATTGTGGCATTTAATTTATTTGTAGCTGGTATGTTAGTTAGAAAGCAATTTTTTCTTTCTCTGAATTGTAATTCCATTTATCCTACATACTCGTAAATATTATTGCTGTTTAATCGTTTAACTTCTTTACTAAAGAAAGATGAAAAATTTAGCAGCTCTGGTCAAACTGATCAAAACCTCACCTGGAAACAGAATACTGCATGTTAAAAACAAGAGACAGATAGTATGGTTCTTAGCTGGAAACTACCTGACTTTTATCCATTGTCTTTCCAGTAGCCTTTAACCAGCTAACTCAAAGCACAGAGGAAAGTTAGACTAGCGTGTGCTTTTCTGCATTTCTCACCCATTTAAAATGTGGTTAACCCAAGGGCTTTCTATAAAATAAAGATCACTGTGTAACGATTGAAAGAAAGATATTAAATTCAGCCTCACTAAGATCAGTTTCTGGATTTATGGTTGGATGCTGACTGGTAAATTTTGCATGTCTGGGACATTTTTCCTGTCCAAACATGCATACAATTGCACTCCTTATGTAGTGGGAGTTGGGGGACGGCTGTAGGAAAAGAATAGGCCACCATAGCTTTCAGTTGGAGCAACTTCCCTGCAGCTACTTATGCTAGAAGGTTGGCTGCAAGGGACCAGAGCTGAATTCATCTGGAGCTCAGCTTCTTGAATGCACAGTTTGGGCACGTCTCCCTTTGTTTTGGACCATATGCTCAGAAACTGCAATCTAATGAGCAAAAACACTGCTGGCTTCTTGCACCTTTGGAGGTGGAACTGGAATCCAGGGAGTAGAGGACAGCATTGGTCTAGCAGGCAAAAAGTAGCAGAGAGCGGCATAGATATTCTGTCACCTAGCATAAAATGGTTGATGGGGAGCAAAGAAACTTCAAGGGCAGATAAAAGTAAGGGGCTGCTGAATTAAAGACTTCATCCATAGCCTCAGTTCAGTGGCTAGAGGCTTGAATCCGGATGAAGGATTGCTATCAAACTGCGCACGTTCGTGGGCTTTCCTGGCACCAGGCCTCACATTTGTGTTATCAGCATCAAGTGTGGATGACTGGCAATCACGTGATTGTTACTGTCAGTACTTTCTGCACTGAATTGCATCTTGATGCCTTAAGGATGTAAGAAGAGCCATGCTAAATCAGACGAAACCCATTAAGTATAGCATTCAGTGGTCAACCAGGGCACAAGCACAACGAGAGGAATAACTCCCTTCTTCTCATGCTCCATATTGTCTCTGACACTGGAGACAACAGGCAGCCATCAGGACTGGTAGCCAGGTAGCCCTCTCCTCCATGATTTTGTCCGATCCCTTTTTAAAGCCATCCAAAATAGAGACCATCATGTGGTAGTGACTGTAATTGTAAACCTTGCTGTGCATAAACATGAAACTCGCTGCAATGCAATGAAGTCGTCTCTGCTCCATAAGTGTTTCTAGAAGAGGCTTTTAACCTGCTGCATCTTCTTTTGGTTTCAAAAGCAGCACTGTTTTCCTGCTTTTCTCATACATAATCTCTAGAATGGAATGGTAGGCTGGAATAATACAGGCAACCAAATAAAAAAAGTGTTTTCCTTCACTTTCAGAATTCAGTGCTGCCTTTTCCCTGCACTTCAAAAAAATCTCACCAAAAGTACTCATTAGACACAGAAGTAAAACAGGAGGGACATAAGATCATCTAAAGAACCTGGAAACCTGGTGTCTATAGGATTGCAGCTCAGGTCCCTAATCCAGTGCAAACCACAGGCAA